GGATTCCTGAGTTTTATGGTCCTTTCATTTTGCATTTGAGATGAATCAGAAAACTCTATTGTGTTGTGTGTGCTACTTGGAAAGGGTAGGGATCACTTTACACCTATTAATTTTTTTGAATCACAATATTATCTACTAACAAAAGAAGAAAACAAGTATTATTAAGATTACACTAACCCAAAACAGAAAAATAAAAGTGAATTTTTTAACCCATTACATGACCATCTTATACACTATGTGAAATTTCATAAGTGTCCTTCAACTTGAAGTCTATTTTTGGTTCGTACTATATTATACATGAATTACATTGGAAGGGTTGCTGCAAATCAGAAATATACTTCTACATCCTAGACGCACTAAATAGTGCTATGCCTCTTCCCTTCTCATTACAATAACCATTTTCAAAACAAAGCATAAAACTCTCTCAATCCCTTATTACATCCTTCATATATTTGGTCAAAAAATCATCAGAAATCATCAAGCATTGGTTAAATATAGCAATATAACGCAACCAATCAAGCAAAATCAACACCAATCAATCAAGTAAGTTGTTTTTCGAATTTTTAGAGTTTATGTAATTTCTACTCAAATTAGTGAATTAGGGTTTAAGTTGTGATATTGTAGCTTGTTATCAATATTAAGAGTCATTAGAAATGTGTTTCTAAAGTTAATTTCGTGATCAATGTCCTTTTTATGAGCTTATTGAGGGGACTGAGACGCCATTTTCGTTGCTTCTGTTATCACAGTACGAACCAAAATTAAATTTCGATTTTGTCTAGAACAAAACTGGAAGTATACTTCTGGATTATGTTTGTGTCTGTTTTAAGGCTTGTTTTGCACATTGGACCTTATGTTAACATTTTTTTCGTACTTCTACAAAAGATATGGATGAGAGACCGTCACGATTGAGGCACGGTAGGTTGCATAACATGCTTCTGTGTGGAGAGAAAGAAGTCAGGCTACCCAGCCTCCTCCTTCCTCTACACCATCAGTACCAAATACACCACCTACAACTTCACCCTCCGGTCTGCCTGCTTCTATTCCTTTGACGTCGACCTCCCGCAACAGACGGGATTCTCCTGTCCATCCTTCGCCACCCCCATCCTCCCACAGACGCACTTCCTCACCTAGCATATTTGAGGCGGGATTCACATCCGGTACCCAGGTGACACCTGAGGCCTAGGAATCATCACAAACTTAGTCTCGGGCGCCACTTGAGGCAGTTTCTCAGTCATCCCAGGCACCTGAGGTGACACCTGAGGCTGCACCTGAGGCTACACCAGCGGACACCTAAGGTCGCACCAGCGACACCTGAGGCCGCACCAGCTCAACCTGCACATGCGGCCCCTCAGGCTTTTGGAGGAGGACCGTTAGATTTATCACTTCTTTATCTTTATCCCAACCATGTTGCTAGATATATTTAGGACTGGCAGGTAAGAATTTTGCATTTTTATTTCTATTATGAATTTTATTGTGAATTTTATTATGAATTTTGACTTGAATTTTATTATGAATTTTGACTTAAATTTTATTATGCAGAAACATGATACGCTCAAGGTCATTAGCCATGGATGGAAAATCAGTAAACTCGTGTCGCCTGCTGAGCCATGGTTTGATGAGCTTTTTACGACTTACAAGGTTGAAAGATTTGGCCCTGTATGGATGCAACGTGATCAACTGGGGTATGATCGACGCTTTTATTGAGATGTGGCATCATGAGACATTATCGTTTCATCTACCACATGGTGAGATGACGATCACACTCAACAATGTCACGCGTCTGCTTCATCTGCCGATCAGAAGGACTTTCTCGAATCATGATAGGATCGACAAAGAGGAGGCATTGGATTTGTTAGTTTAGAAGCTGGGAGTTACCTCTGAGAGTGGCCTGGGAGAGATTGATAAGACCCGTGGTTGCGACGTCAGGTATAGCTATTTGGATAGGGTGTTCGCGAATGAGATTAGACGTGCATGAGAGGCTCATGGTGATCCCGAGAAGGTTACCATTCACAGGGTGTTTGCCATAAGATCGTACCTTTTGTATCTTGTTAGCATACAATTTTGTGTGGACACCAGTTCCACTTATACCGATATCATGTACCTCCGGTACTTTGAGGAATTTGAGTCGATCAGCCAGTGGAACTGGGGGTCTGCTTGCTTGGTTTACTTGTATACCAAGTTGGATGACGCCATTACATGGGATACAAAGCAAATTACTGATAACATGTCACTCATGATGGTATAAATTCTTTGTCTTTGTGGTCTTTGTTAATTATTTTGATTTCGGAACTAACTATTTAATTTTGTTATTTCAAGGATGGATCCTACAGTACTTCCCCCATCTGGGGTGATCATATGATACGAGTTATATTGAAAATAAGCCGCGTGCCTGCATATACGATCCTCTCTGAGGGAACCATGCAATAGAGTCGTCCAGGGTTTACATTGACTGGCTGGTGCATGAGAATATTCACTTCAGTTTCATACGTCGACCATCGTGTCACGATACTGTTTGACGAGGTTGCGTTGTTTACCAGGTTAGTCAACTTGCGGGATTCACAAGACTACTGCTTATATTCCTGAGTGGGTGATGCGTCAGTTCGGGTTTACCCAGACCATTCCCTGGGATCCTGCTGTATGTGCTCCTCCGACTGTGAAACAAAGGGATATGGATGATATGTTTGATGATTTTGAGAATCATCTTGTTCTTGATGAGGCCATGAGTACTGTTGCACCAGACGTCTGGAGTTACGAGTACGGATACATGATATAGTTCTTCAAGATGTCTCATACGTACACGGTAAAGGATGCTCCAAGGAACCCACTGAGGCAAGTTCATCAGGAGATCCTAGAGGAGGAGAAGACTATGAGGGATCATGTTCATGACATTTTGTGTAACACCCCAAATTTTAGATTAATTATTTAATTAATTAATTTAGCATGATTATATGAGTCTATGTGAAGTAGATGGTGTTTTAATGTTTTGATGCTTATTTATGATGTTTTGATGCCTTGTGTGAGTCCTTGTGACAGTATATGATGTGTATTTGTAATGTAATTGTGATGCAAATAGCGATGATTTGATGAATAAGGTGTTTAAGATGATGACTTGTGGGGTGTAGGATGAGTTAGAAAGAAGGTTTGGAATTTAAATAATTATTTTGGAATTATTTAGATTTAATAGTGATTAATTGGAATTATTTGGATTTAAGTAATTAGAATAATAGAATAATAGAAGTGTAGAGAAAATAAGGACAAGATGGTAATTAGTATAAAGAGTGAGGGCGTGATGGTAAATGGTATAATGCTAAGTGAGGGCATTTTTGGGATATAGGTATTAGGGGTCTAAATTGTATTATAAGAAAAACAAGAGTGAGAGTACGACAAAACAGATCGTAGAATGAAAAAAGGCAAGGAGAAGGGAAAAGCTAGGGCAAGAGGATTCCACAGCTTTTTGGAAGATCAAAGCTTTGAATTAAGGTAAGGGGGTGAATGGATTCTCTAATTGGTGATCTTACATGAGAGGGGAGTAAGGGTTCCTTTCCCTCTTAGGTTGTTTTATATGATTGATGTATAATTTGTTTGGTTTGATTGAATTGATGTGTTGTATACAATTATACATGGATCTGTGATGTTATGTTGTGATTGTCGTTTTGATTTACGTTGTTATGATGATTGTTGCATAAAACCCCAATCTAGAACCTATAAGTAATGTGAATTAGGATTTGAGGATTTTGGATGAGGATTTGATGAAATATAAGATGAATAATAATGCCCAAATGATGTATAATTGATGTAGAAACATAGGATGATAATAGATCATGAATTCCTATGATTAGATGATGTTTTAGGACCCATAATTTAGTGGAATAGTAGAAGAATCGCAGAAAAATCGCAGGAAAAACTCAACATCAAGCAGTTTGCATCAACTCAAAGAAGGTTTGCATTGACTAAAGTTGTGCCGACTCATGGGTCCACCTGATCATACCCGTGGTAGACAATGAGGTTTTGCATCGACTCATAGAGGTTTTGCGTCGACTCAAACAACCCAATTTTGGACACATTTTTGTAACG